AAGGAGTCTGACGTGCACTTAGGAGTCAGGGTGGAACAAGTTCCTTTATTTTGACATTGCAGAGAAGTAAGTAACTGCGGAGTCGCAACCACAGTAGGTGTTTGCGTCTGGCGTAGTGATTTAACGAAAGCGTTGATTTGGGTACACACGAGGTGTACTTGGGTTTGCGTTTTTCACACAACCCTAAACCAGAAAACACATTCCCTGTTGGTGGTTGATTCGACTGAGGTCCCAAACTGTTCTGTGGTTGGTTTCCAAAAGGTAACAGCCTTGTCCTGAAACCGCATGCATCGATAAAAACCCTTGTCTCTGAAAACATCCTTGTGGAAAAAATCCGGTTGCATTTCCCATCGTGCCACAACATCCATGTGGACCATTCTGAGATCCCTGCGAACACTGTTCAGTCACACTGGGTGGAACTGCAGTCATGCTTGGCCACTCAGCTAAGCCCAGCGCACAACTAAGAAACTGACCTTCAACTAAGTTCGGCGCTGCAGCTTGAGGGCACTGACCTTGTTGCATTGCTTGCTGCTGTTGTTGTTGCTGTTGCCCATGACATGAGCTGAGGTTTTGCGCAGCTTGTCTCGCGCCTAAACCTTGTAAACCTGAGCCTTCGCTTGGCTCTGGGGAACTAAGTGACGACGTGCTTGGTGGCAACCTTGTGTTGTAATACAACCAACAGCATAGCAGCCACGACAGGGTACCTGTTGTTGGACTGGAATTCTTCTTGTTTGATGACACATGCTGCCATGACCACGGCAGGGTTCCTGCTGTTGGCATGGCCATTCAGGTGAAATGATGGTCCATTAGTAAATGAAAAGGTGACTCTAGCAACCCTTCCCTGCCCTTGAGTCACATCAGCAATTAAGATTCCGCACTTGGACTAACACAGCTACCATCAGGGTTATATTGCAACCACTGCAGGATACCTGTTGTTGTATGCCCTACCACTCTTGCCCAATGGTGGTTGATCATCCCCGCATGACAATGTATCTTCAGGATGCAGTGGGACATGCCACATACCTGCCCGTCGCAGGTCCAACCCTCTTGCAATGTAGCTGAACCAAGCAACACCCGCTCCATCGCTGTGCTTTATGCACACACCGGATGTCTCTTCCTACATACTTGAAGTGCTTAGTAGAGCTGTGTGCTCTGGATGATGATGATTGGAAAAGTACATCTGAGTGGACTCTGAGTGGGCTCTGAGTGTCGTAGCTTTTTGCTTAATTTTCACCTTAGATCTCTTTCACCCCATGTTTCACATCTCATTTTTCACTCGCGTTGCAGATCGACACGGTCGATGTGCATAGGTGCTGAGTCATGCCTCTACGGCTACACGTTGTGATCTCCGGGATCCTGGCTGGGGGGATCCTGGGTTTCCGCAATGTGTCTTGTTGCTTCCGCACCCTCCGATGGCCATTTTTTGTGGTTTTGTTCTGTTGTGTTTTGTGTTTGCTTTTAAGATGGCCTGCGCGAAGGATGGCACACAAGCTGCTATCGGAATTCATCTCAAGAGCACATAGCTGTCCATTTGCCCTGTTTTTTGTGCTGTTTTTTGTTTTGTTGTTTTTTGTGTGTTTTGCTTTTTGTGGTTTTTGTTTTGTTTGCTTTCTTGTTGTTTTGTGCTCATTCTCGGCAATTGGATAGCTTTATGGACTATGTAAAGGTCCACACCAGCTCTCTTTTGTAGCCTTCTTTTACCGATGGCTTTGCATGCATATCAATTCAATTTCCGGCAAGTAAAAGCTTGTGTAACGACCTGGCGAAAGCCTCGGAGGCGTTGGACGGAAAAAAAAATGGTGGCAACCTTGTGTTGTATCCTTGCTCCATTTGTGTTGGTGAACTTGGGTCCATACCTCTAGCTTCCCTAGTTACATCTGCTTGCAACTCTTGGGACATACCTGGACCGTTTTGCTGCATCCTAAACCTTCACCTGACTAGGCCTAGGAGCACACAGCTCCGCTACCATGTGAAAATCTAGAGACCCAAGTTACCTACGCGACTCAACGCGAAACCCCTGGGTCGGCAGCAAGGGCGAAAAACCCAACAACACAACCAAAAAAACCTTCCACTCAAACACACAGTCCGTCTCTCAAGTTCCAACTTTTGCTCCAGCGAACCGAAGGAAACAACAAAGTCTGAGCTTGTTTCCTGTCCTGTTGCTTTGACTCCTATTTGAACCAAGCTTGGCTCCTTTGAGCCTCCTTGAGATGAAAAATGTGCGGGTGCACACACATCTCTGTTTGAATGTCCTTTGACATTCCAGGGCAAAAAAAAACTGTTGCTGCTTCTTCGGCACTAAAATTGCCGACCGCTCAAACACATCGAAAACTGATTTATACAAATTGGTTGTTTGTTTTCGATTTGTTTCAAAAACGTGAGGTTGAAACTCCGTGGACATGCAAAAAAAAAACTAAACGCATCTGGCATCCTCAAACGGCTGAAACTTCCAAGTTCGTATCCCTTGTTCTTCCAGCAAACGTGACAAAACGTCACAAAACTGAAACTCCACAACCTTCATTGCAAAGTTCTCAAAGAGATGCCATCGATGATCACGTAAGTCATCAAACTTTCTTCTCGAAATAAAATTCACAATCCAAACTTCTGTGCAAATCTTTTCCAGCTTGGAACTCCGTGTGAACGTTCTGAAACTCTGATATCGTCAAACCAATGACGATGAAATCTTCTCATTTGCCTCATAGTGATGAGCAAATGATCCAAACGTAGGCATCACCAAACCAATGGTGATGAAATTTTCCCACTTGCTTCATCGTGCTGGGCAAGTGTTTCCAAAATGCCTGTTGAAGGCAAAACAGCTGTAACTTCTCACCATGAACACCATAGTCGGTGAAAATCGCTGTAACCAAAACTGTGCAGAACTCAGCGGCACCAGGTGTTACCATATTTCCACAAAATGTCATCCACAGCTCTTCAATGGGCGGAGGGACGAACTTCCGCATCCTACGAACTTCAGACCTGAAAGCTCAGAGGGGTATATGCAAGTACGGGAGTTGCATGTGACCTTTCATGTACGATCGTGACCACCTGACCGCAGGGTGGAAGCTAAGTCAAGCTGGAAAACGATGGAAAACGTGCGACCTGTGTCGCAGACTCTGAGATGAGTCGTTACCCCAATTCTCTTAGGTTAGGGACGTGTTGCACCCGTCGCCAATTGCACTTATAAGGAATTCTTCTACTAGCGCAGTTGTAGTTGTAGTTGTTGTTGTAATATAGCATAGCGGAGTTGTAGTTGTAGTGTGGTGTACACAGTGTGGTGTAGTTGCAGTTGTACTTGTGGTGTGGTGTAATTAGTGTAGTGTAGTGTAGTCTAGTGTAGTGTAGCCTGTGTAGTGCCGTGTAGTGTAATGTGAAGTAGTGTAGTTGTAGCTGTAGTAGTGGTTGTAGTATAACTAGTGTAGCGTAGTGTAGTTTAATGTAGAGTAGTTGTATTTGTAGTTGTAGTTGTAGCTGTAGAAAAATGTAGTGTAGTGTAGTTGTAGTTGTAGTTGCAGTTGCAGTTGTAGTTGTAGTTGCAGTTGCAGTTGTAGTTGTAGTTGTTGTTGTAGTTGGAGTTGTAGTTGTAGTGGTCGTTGTCGTTGTCGTTGTAGTTGTAGTTGTAGTTGTCCTGTAGTGTAATGAGTGTAGTTCCAGTTGTACTTGTAGCTGTAGTTAGTAGCAGTTGTAGTTGTAGTTGTAGTTGTAGTTCTATCTATCTATCTATCTAACTATCTATCTATCTATCTATCTATCTATGTATCTATCTATCTATCTATCTATCTATCCATCGAACGATCCATCTATCTGTCTATCGATCGATCTATCGATCTATCTATCGATCGATCGATCTATCTATCGATCAATCTATCGATCGATCTATCGATCTATCGATCTATCGATCTATCGATCTATCGATCTATCGATCTCTCGATCTCTCGATCTCTCGATCTCTCGATCTCTCGACCTCTCGATCTATCGATCTATCGATCTATGGAAATGTGCTTCACGCCACAACGGCGTGCACTTTTTCGACATCGCAACTTCCAAAAGTGGTCCGAACCTGGTGTGTTTTGTACATTTTGAGTTGGAAATGTGCTTCGCACCACAACGGCGTGCACTTTTTCGACATCTCAACTTCCAAAAGTGGTCCGAAGCTGAGGTGTTTTGTACATTTTGACTTGGACATGTGCTTCGCGCCACAACGGCGTGCACTTTTTTGACATCTCAACTTCCAAAAGTGGCCTGAAACTGAAGTGTTTTGTACATTTTGACTTGGAAATGTGCTTCGTGCCACAACGGCGTGCAATTTTTCATCTCCCATCTGGCCAGCTGGCTCCGCACCGGCCGCTTTAGGGAGCCTACTTTTCGACCCTCCGGAGCCTCAAGTCATTGGAAAAACACAGTATTTCGCAACTTTCCTACCTTTTGGCACACCTGAATCTTCTTTCTTCTGACTCTTTTTCTTTCTTCTTCTCTTCTCTTCTCTTCTCCTCTCCTCTCCTCTCTTCTCGTCGCTTCTCTTCTCTTCTCTTCTCTTCTCTTTTCTTCTCTTTTTTTCTCTTCTCTTCTCTTCTCTTCTCTTCTCTTGTCTTCTCTTCTCTTCTCTTCTCTTCTCTGACTATTCCCATCTCTATTGTCGGAAATTTGATTTCTAAACTTCCTTCGCCGAAGATCGTATCAGATCCTCCGGAAAGTCCTTGTTTGACAATCTTGTGGAATCCCCTTAGATGTCCTGGTATGAGGCCTTGGTATGATGTCCCAGTATGAAGCCCTCGTCAGTAAACATAATAGCATCGTTTCTTGTGACAAAACAATTTCCTGCTGCTGCAACTTCAATAATGATGAAGCAGACTTTAGTCTTCGAATTGTCTCACTATGCAGTTTAAAAATCAATGGATTTCGGGTCACGTTTGCTTTCTGTAGTTTTCTCTCTCAAGAGGGTGGGAGCGGTGGGTCCGCCGTTTATTTGAAGAAGTTGAAAAGCGACTTTAGGGGGGCATGCCATGGATGATGCTGGAACTTTTGGTGTTACAGGAACAGGACAAGATGCGAGTCTAGAACAGTTTAGTGACTGGCTTCAGGTTTCCATGGATGAACATGCAGTTGATGGTTTTTCAAACGATGCTCCCCGTGGTCATCATGCTTTTCAAGATGAGTCACTGATGGGACATGAGTCACCTGAAGTGATATGGTCAGTGGACAACGGCGGAACTCATGAGAGAGACCAGGTTGCGTCAGAATGCCCTAGCCCCAGTTTGGCACGTGACTCGGAGGTGGTGGCAGCCATTGCACAGCCTGGACCTCAGCCAACTATTGGTCATGGACAATGGCAGCTTGGTGTAGAAGCAAACCATGCACAGTTTTCACAACGTCCTGCTAACCTTTTGTTGCCGTGGGAGACAGGAGTTTTTGCTGAAATTTTTGGGCATTCCAATTTGCTTGAACTTCCAATGAACCAGTTGCCAGAGCCTGACACCGGCCTCATGGATCACGTGATCGCCGCTGCAGAGACCTTGGAAGGTGCTGGAGCTCAGACTTTGGAGTCATGCTACGACAAAGTAGTAAAGAATGTACTGGATTTGGATTACTTCGAAAGCAAACGCAGGCAATTGGAACTTGCTTGCGGCCAATGGTTGGAGTTACTTTCCTGTAGCTGGTATGCAACTGGTGTTGGTGAGATCTTGGCACAGGATATGCAAAAAGATGCATCTGGAGCTTGTGCATACGAGACTCTAAAGGCTTCATTTGGAATCAAGAGTCCACAGACTCTGCTGAAGCGGGCATCGAGCTTGCGGAGGTACTTCAAGTGGCATGCTGAGTTGCGAATTGATGCTCAGCAGGTACATGTCAGTCCTTTGCCTTTCTCTGAAGCAGATGTTTGGTCTTTCTTTCACTGGCTTCGTGATTTGAGACGTGAAAACCAGCGTGGTTTTACAAACGCTTCTGCATTTTTGGAAACAGTGAGATTTATGAAGTTCACACTGGAACTGAGAGAGTCTGATGTGGTGCTGCACTCAAGAAGGCTTTTGGGCTTTGCTGCAATTGAAAAACACCAGAAGGGACCGACTCGTCAAGCTGCACCGCTTGAGTTGTGCAATTTGCAACGACTGCATGAAATCTTGGAAGGCCCTGGATGCATCACAGACAGGTTGGGCGCAGGAGCTATGTTGATTTGCGTATATGGACGTGCCAGGTGGTCAGACTTGAGGTTCATCCACCATGTGGTTGTGGAGGAAGGCAGAAATGGCTTCCTTACGCTGTACACAGCTGAGCACAAAACTTCAGCTGTTGGAGCCAGGCGAGAACAGTATCTCCCCTTGGTGGTGCCATGGATGGGTGTGACACATGATGAATGGGTCAAGACCTTCATGGATGTGTACAGGATGGCAGGTTTGGATTTGTTCCGTGTGCCATTGGGCCCACTGCTGCCAGCTCCTCGCTTAGGAGGAACCTTTGGTGCAAGACCGTTGACAACACCGGAGGCTGCAGAGTGGTTGAGGTTGCTCCTAAGGGGCACAGATGGATGCGAGAGTTTCAGGGCGCACTCCATGAAAACAACCCTTCTGGTTTGGGCAGCAAAGGCAGGGCTTGACAAGGAGGTGCGTGCTGTTTTGGGTCACCATGCTTCGGCGCTGCAGGGTTCAGAGGTGGTCTACAGCAGATACCTGCAGACTAGGGCGTTGAGGAAACTGAACATGATGCTGCATCGTGTTCGAATTGGCCTGGGTGTGGATGAGGATGCAATGGCACCAAACCCATACGCCACGCCCAATGTTCGGACCCCCAGACCTGGTGTTGCGGCACAGCAGCCTATGACACCCTTTCCTCCTGCACCGGTTTTGGATGCGCCAACAGATGTTGTTGAGACGGCCCTGGAGGAAGTCAACGTTGCGGGAGACCTGGAGAGCGTTAAGGAGGAGCAGCTGGATGAAGCTCAGATCTGTGCTGCTGCTTCCAGCATCTCACTCTTTGATCTTGGAGTGGTGGATACTGGAGTGATTGAGTTGGACAGTTCGTCCGGCAGTGAGAGTGGGAGTGATTCTACAACTTCTTCAAGCGATGAGGCCAATGTGAAACAGCCTGACGTTCATGCTTTTGTTGACAGGGTCCCTGATGGACTGCAGTACTACAAGCATCGCAAAAGTGCGATCATGCACAAGGTGAAGAATGGACAGAAGGTCGCAGCATGCGGTGCTCAGCTCACTGCCAACTTCCAGTTGATGCCGAAAGAAATCAAAGTGCGATGGCCGAAGTGTTTGAAATGTTTTCCAAAGGATTCTAACAGGATCAGAAATATTTCTCAGCTCACAGGAGCGATTGACAATGCATTGAGCAGGGCAAAACGCCATGCTGCTTGAGAAGAGAAAAAAGTTTGTTGGCCGCATTTTCTTGAAGTGAACAGTTGCAAAGGCACACATTGGCAGAAAGCTGCAAAGGATTTTTGCAGAAAGCTGCAACATATATTTCGTTCCTTCTTGCAATGCGGTTCAAAGGTTGGAGAAAGCTCCACACGCAGAAAGCTGCAATTAAAGAAGTTCATTTGCAGAAAGCTGCTTCAAGACATTTGCAGTTTTAAAATTTTAGGTTTGCAGAAAGCTGCACTCGACTTCAGATGCGTTCATGTTTTCTCCATGCACTTGCTCATGACATGTTTTATTTTTCCCTTCACAGTTTCGTTGCGCGTTTGTTAGGAACATGACGTCACTGCTTGATAGTACAGCGCACTTTGAAGAGAGATGCGCCAGACTGAGCATGGGACAAGGTTTCGTGACGGCCTGAGCTGCTGCGCAAGTGGATTGCCTTTCTAAGCTTGCGTTTGTGATTGGCCAACCTGGTCGGCCTATACAAAATCAAGAAGTGACCGACTTCTTGCAGAATGCCTTGGGCCGTGCACCGACCTTAGCAGAGACCGCAGCTTTGAAGAGGCTTGGTTTTGAGGCTCACACATACTTGGTTGCAACACTGAGACAGCAGATTGACCAAAGTGATGACACGCAACCCAGAAAAGTTGCCTTTGCCGAACGTACGCAGCGAATGGACAGGTTGCGCCAGGACCTTAGGGGCCTTGAAGTCAGTGGTGAACTTGAGCCCTCGCATTCGTTGTTGGACAAGTGCTGTGCAATTTTTGATAGCAACAATGTCAAATGGCTGGAGCCAGCAATTTGTATTTCACGAAGTATGGAGGTTCAGGGCACGCCCAAAGCCCGCGAACTTACATTGGAAAAAGGGTCCCTGATCCTTAAGCAGGATGACAAGCTGACTTGCCAGACGGACTCTGAGATAAAGTTGCACTACGCATTGAGCAGGAGAGCAGTTGCCTTAGCATTTGCTCGAGTCATGTCCTTTCAGCAACACAATGCATGGGTAACCTATCTTTTCGAAGCGCTACACCGTGAAGTTCCTCCAGGTTACAGCCGTGCAAACTTGTCACAAGTTGTAAGCTGTGACAAAGCTGCCTGGGCAAGGTTGGCAACCCTAGGTGTGTCAACCCGCGAAGCTGCTGATGGGACTTTTCCACTAGGAGATGCACTGTTAGCCTTGAAGTTGGACCCGGCAATCATGTTGTATCTTGCCCCTTTGGCAAAACCAGTGCAAAGCTCAGCATCGGGACCATCAAGGCCTGCTCCCTACCAGCCTTCAGGTGGAAAGTCGCATGGTGGAAAGCCGAAGGGAAAGTCAGGAGGCAAAGGGAAGACTCCACCAATGCCCCAGGAGTTACGGGGCAAGTACCACAAGACGGCTTCCAATGAGCCAATTTGCTTTGCCTTCAATACAGCAGCAGGTTGTGCACAGTCCTCGACTGTAAAGCCGGGAGACCGGTGTCCACGAGGATTGCATGTTTGTGCTGAGCCGCGCTGCCAACAGCCTCATTCGCTACAGCAGCACAAGTGACTAGGCCCTGATGTGCGAAAGGACTTAAATGGGCTTCATATTGAGCAGTTATTCATGATTGAAGTGTTTGTTGGTGGAGCTGTCCTTACGTCTGTGGCCAAACAGTATGGACTTGGTGGCATAGCGGTCGACAAAGTTCGGAAGCAAAATTCGAGAAGCACAATCTATCAGTTAGATTTGATGCAAGCAGCTGACAGGGAGCTCTTAGAAGAGTGGCTTTCTTCACCTCTTTTGCTGTGGGTGCATTTTGCACCGGTGTGTGGAACGGCGAGCAGGGCCAGGGAGATACCCCGACCCGAACTGACTGCTGCGCCCCAACCTTTGAGGTCCTTGGAGCATCCAATGGGTTTACCTACACTTGGACCAGCAGACCGCCAGAGGGTTGAGATTGCAAATGAGCTGTTCCGGTACACTTGCCACCTTTTTGCAATGTGCTTGAGACAAGGCATTTTGGCTACGATGGAAAATCCCCGTGGCTCATACCTTTGGGTAATACCCTTTGTGCTGGATCTCTTGCGGTCTTATTCAATTTTTGCAACAGATTTTCAGGCATGCATGTATGGATCTATGCGGGACAAGTGGACCAGGATCATTGCAACCTTTCCTGAAATTTGTCAGATGGATGTAGTTTGTGACCGAACTCACAAGCACCTTGGCTGGGGATTCACAACAAATGCACAAGGCAAGAAAGTTTGGGCAACGGCCGAAGAATCCCAGTACCCTAGAAAGCTCTGCATAGCTTTGGTACAAGTTGTGTTACAGGTTGCTGCAACAAAAGGTGTGAAATTGCGACCCAACTGCTTGCATGACATTGTTGATCACCCTTTGCTGTCAGCAAAAAATGCGCAGATTGCAGCAGGTCGCCAGCCGAGAGGTGCCAAGGTTCCACACTTAGTTGCTGACTTTCAACAAACAGCAGTTTTCTTTGCAAAACAACCTGCCGACATCCCTTGCGGCCTTATGGGCAAACTGTCAAACCCTATCCAGTTGAGAACCGAACAACAACAACCGGTTCTTGTGCCTAAGCACTCACGGTTTTTGCGTGGGTGTTGCGCTGCAGACTCTGACATGGGGGTTGCGGGTGAGTCTTTGCGTGTGGACAGTGAGGAGCCCTGGGAATACAAAGCAATTTTTGGCTTGCCATGGGATTGTGAACAATTTTTGAAGAAAACGGTGGAGGTAGGACACCCTTCAAAGTACAGTTTTTCAGTTCCAAAGGATTTGCAACTGGCTTTGGACAAGCACCTGGAGTGGAGCGAACAGACGTTGGTTCAATATAGAATGAACTGGTGCCGTAAATGGTTGAAGAGGGCGAAGGATTTGGAGCAGGCTGAGCAGTTGGATGCAGCATCTCGTCCTCCTCATGTCCGGCAGGCCACACTTGGGAAGAGGATCTTGCTAACTAACGAGATCCTAGCTGAAATGCAGTACGAAGATTCTGGAGTTTTGGACTTGCTGCGACATGGTTCACCTTTAGCGGGTGAGATACCCAAGAGTGAGGCGTTTGAGGAGCTCTACAAACCTTGCATGCTTACAATGTCACAGTTGCTGAAGGAGGCCCCGATGAGAAACAAAGCAGTCCTGGCTGTTTGCAAATCCTCAGGTGACATTGAAGTTGACAGGCAGCTCCTTCATGAAACGAGAGAAGAAGTTAAACGAGGATGGGCCATAGGGCCGCTGACATCAATTCCTGAAGGTGCTGTCGTATCACGACGTTTTCCGCTGGTGCAAAAGACGAAGACCCGAATGATTGATGACTTCTCAATCTCTGGTATCAATGATACAGCATCGACACATAACAAGGTCGATTTACATATGGTGGACACCTTTGCAGCAGTGGTCAGGGAATTTTTCAGAAGATGCAGTGTTGAGTCGAAGGAAAGTGCATTGGTCGCAAAGACGTACGACCTGAAGAGCGCTTATAGGCAGGTGCCTATAAGGGAAGATCATTTGCGCTTCTCATACTTTTGCATCTACAACTGTGAGACAGGACAAGCAGAAACCTATCAGCTTGTCACTCTGCCCTTCGGCGCGACGCACAGTGTGTACAGCTTCCTCAGACTGGCCAGGATGCTGTACACCGTCTGCACTCGACAGCTGTTTCTGTTGACAACAAATTTTTACGATGACTATATCCTGGCGTCGTTACCTGGAAGTGTTGAGTCTGCAAAAAACTCCATGGAGTTGGTCTTCATGTTGACAGGCTGGAAATTTCACATGGACGGCAAGAAATCAACGTCCTTTGGAACAGTTTGCAAAGCCCTTGGGGTACAATTCGATCTGGCTAGCTCTGGCGAAAGAGTGCTTGCTGTACGGAATACAGAACAAAGGGTTCAGGATTTGCTGGCGATGATAGCCTCGACTTTGCAGGCTGGAGAGTTGTGTAAGCAGGAGGCTTTGATCCTGCGAGGGAAGCTGGGCTTTGCAGATTCCTTTTTACATGGCCACCTAGGCCTTCTGGTGCTGAAACAGCTTTCTGAACATGCCTATAGCAGGTCTGCAAAACTTTCACCGGAGCTTGCCTTTGGACTTCAGGTGATGGCCAAGAGGTTGTCTCTTGGAATACCTCGCATCGTTTCTGTGAAGGCGGTGCAACAGTGGTTTGTCTTTTCAGATGCGGCGTATGAGCCGGAAAGCAAAGAAGGAGGTATAGGTGCGGCTATCTTCAATGAATCTTGCGAGTGCGTGGGCTGGTTTGGTTTTCCTTTACAACCATCAACATGCGTTCACTTTGGTGCTGAGTTGAAACAAACGATCATTTATGAGTTGGAGTTAGCTGCATCAATTTTGGCTTTGGATTTTTGGTCTGACAAAATGAAGGATGGCTTACAAATTTGCTTTAGCGATAACGACAGTGCACGGTTTTCGCTGATCAAGGGAGCCTGCTTGAGCTCGCACGCGTCTGCCTTGATGAGATACCATCTTGAGCGTGAGGCGGAGAACAATCTTTGCACCTGGTACGCACGAGTTCCAACTGAGGCCAATGTCAGCGACCATCCATCTCGCAATGCCTCACATCCTTTGCTCCCTTCTTGCATGGATGAATCATGCGCTGCAGTCGCTTGGTTTGAGAACCTTCTGAATTTTCTGACTGCGGCAGCACAGAGATGA